TTTCTAAAACCATGTATTTCTTAAAAATTTCATTGTATTTTGATTTACTATGAAAACATTAAAAGAAGAAATATTAAACAAAAAAAATGAAAAGTTAGAATATGTATTATATAAAATATTTAAGAGAATATACAGTATAGTTTGAACAGAATATCATCATAATCATTCAAAACGGTATCCTCACCAAAATCGATATGGTTAAATCATTAAATGAATTATCCTTTTTCATCGCGAGATAAACGTAAATTTTATATTAATCTTGTATATCTCGCCCTTTTAAATAGTTAATTCTTTTTTTTTAAATGATATCTTGTTATCAACAAACTTTAATCTACATATTATATTTCCATCTAATGTTATGGTTCATTGATTCAATATTTTTCTTTTTCGTTCGATGTTTTTAATACAAACGATACTCTTTTTTTATTTAATATATCTAAGAACAAATTTGTATAGTTTAAAAACAAATTAAATCAAATTATGTATCAACAAAATATTTTGATAAACGAGTCAAATATCGATATCTGAAATGAACGGACTTTATTTATATTGAGGATGCTTTTTTAATCTATTATACGTAGTACATTTGTTCTCATAAATTTGACATGAATTACAACAATTTAAAGACAAAGAAAATATCCTTCCCTACACGTTAGGCTTTGCTCTTTAAGATGGCAATCAGAACTTCTTGAAGTAATGATTTCGAAATCACCACCCCAGAGGTGACGCGTTACGCGTTTAAGCCGATATGTAGACTGTACTAGTGATGACTGCAAGTAGCTTAAGAATTAAAAAAATCATATATTTATAGAACAATCACTATATTTTAATAAAAGATGTAGGCTAAACTTGAACGTAATTCAAGTACAGGTTTGTATCTGGGTCCTAGTCGAATTAATAAGCACGAGTGGACTAAAATAAAACCGATTCGCTATTCTCTCGACAGCAAGCTATCCGAATCATGAGTTTTTCGATTCAGTCCGCCGCCTTTAGATTGGTAAGAACTCATAGGACATAATGTTTGTTAAGATATAAGATTTTTATTTCAATTAAATGTCACTAATAAGAACTACATTTATAAAAAAAAATCTTTCCAGTAATAGTGATGAAGCAAACTTATTGATAAATATGCGCTTTTCGGGGGAATAAATAAGAAAAATTTCATGTTCATTAGAAAAAAGCGAATAAGTTTAAATGACAGATTTAAGAAAAATGCAGAAGTGATCGAGTAAACTACTAAAAGAGATTAATATAGAGTAATGTTTTTGATTCCAATACTTGATATTCGCGAGATCACGATTCAGATATTGACTTTCAACAAGCAAGAGGGCCAAAACGACGCTCAAGACCAAGAAGAACACGAGAAAGATCGCGTCGAAGAAGCTGACGAGCATTGTCACGACGTGCTGCAGCAACAGCTTCTCCACAAGGATGACCACCACAATTAGCACAACGACGATAAAGATTTTCTTCATCTAGTTCCTCCAATATTTCACGAACAGCCAAGCGTTTTTCCATTGAAGAATCATCGTTTTCGTAGGATTTCCCTGCAGTAGAGAGTGCTACGATGATGAAGAAAACAGCGATTTGAAGTGCAATGATATTAATACGAGCCATCTATATCAATGAATATCCGACGATTGTAGAAGAGGTATGTGTGACAATAATGCAGCGGATGCTCTTATTATATATACCGTCGTTCGGAGATAAAGGAAAAAGAAAATGAAAAAATGTTTCTCTTTACTTACATTCATCGAAGCGCATCAATCGGCGTATTTACAAGTCACATGATATAGAAAAAAATATCCAAAACCGAAAATGACCTCAAATAACAGAAATTTCACAGTAATCAAGAATACAAAAGAAAAGTAAATGCACTTAAAACAAGCTATTTTTTATTCAAAGTGAAGCAAAAAAGTCAAGCGCGAAAAGAATTGTGCTGGGAACTTTTCTAAAAGGTGGACGAGAAAAAGTGATCATTCAAAGCACTTTGTTAAATGAAATTTCCTCAACGAAATTCAGCTTGTACTAGCGAACTCTTTTAAAGCCATTTTACGCAGTGTTTGTAGCCCGCGATACGCGTTTTACGCTGAAAAAAATTTCGGCGAATGGCAAGTCCTTTTTCGTTGATCAATTGGATCAACCCTAAAATTGTGGGTTCCTCATAAGTGTCGAAGAACTCTGTACCTAAGAGAGAGTTCAAGAGAGGAGACCCCTTTTTTATGTATATCACACCGGGGAAATAATTTCTCCTTGAGATTTTATTTCTAAAATGAAGGGTCCCATTGAACCATAGTCGAACCCAAAATCTTAGATCATTTGGCTTGATCTACTAAAAATACGAACAAAAAACAAGTTTAATAGGTCATTTTTCGCCTTGAAAAACCGATAAAAATGAGCGTATTCAGTATTTTGATGTTATCTCACGATTGATTCGGCTGTTTAACGTCGGAGACGCCACATTCGGAAGACAATAGTACAGGCTATAGATTTGTTCAATAGAAGTCTCTAATATATAGAGTATCCGAAAAACTATAGGTCAAGGACTGTCTATAACTCTAAATTTCGTTCAGCCCAAAATATCAATGGGTGTTTCGATGAGGTTTCTGCCTTGTTATGCAAAAGTATCACCTATCAACGTGATAATTTCAGACTTTGTAGAGCTTAGCGAGGCGATGATTTTGGCCGATTTTCATTTCGAAAAACATCGCGGCATCCATGTTTTCTACAAGTCAACTTTTCATATAAAATCACCTGAATAATCTGAAAGCGATTTTGGAACCTTTTTTCCTTGGCCATTATTTTCCCCACCTTTTCCAATTAAAAATTTCTTTTAATAAGCTATTTTCATTTAGTTTTATTTCTACTATCTGGAGTACTATCGCGTCAGATTCTGCAGCTCTTCTAAAGAAAGTATGAACTCATAAATCTTCACATATATGTCTATTCTTAGTGTTCAATCATTCTAATATATGATAATAGATGACAGATATGACTAAAATGGCTTTCAGAAAAAAGAACAGAGCCCTTTTTCAAAGAGTCAAAAAACTTATTCATCACTGTTTGATTTTGTTTGACAATTTCTTCTCTAATTACCCTATATAAAATAAACAAGATAAACAAAATACATTTTCATAAAACAGCAATATTGTAAGACGAAATATCGGTCATTCTTAGGAAGTATCCTATCACCAGTAATATTTGATTTTGATTGATGAAAAATATTCCTTTGATTACATTCTATCAGTGTATTTCAAGTGCAAATTATATGTCATATGAATGACATATTGTTTTGATAAAACCTTGAGAAAACGAGCTACGACAAAGTAATAGATCAGTCAGCGTTCTTTTCTTACTTTTGTGTTGTGAAATAAAAACGTACAGTATTATGAGCCATTATAGGTAATTACGTACAAAATTACATATAAAAAGAAATAAAATTATATAAAGACAAGTAGCGCTCATCCTCCGGATTCGCTGACCCTTTTCTGGAAGAATCATACTTCCCCATGTCGTGGAAATCGGCCCGAGTTTGATCATGAAATCAAATAAGATTTTCACATCCGTAAGAGAGACCGATTGATCGCGATTTGTCAAAATCCTCTATGTCCGATAAGAATATTTTTATTCACTATGACAAATAAAAAATTCATTTAATCAACAAATATATTTTAAATACATTAAATCTTTTGTATTTCACTTTTAATACGACTACACTGAAAAAAAAAAAGGTAGCCCACCAAGCCATTCCGGTTTAGTGATGGCCCACCAAACTCTTTTAAGTTTGGCACCACCAAAATTGTTCCGTAGCGTAAATAAAGAACTTTTTTAAGGTTTTG